TATATACATATATACATACACATATATACACTGTAGGGATAACCATCACATACTTCCAGACATAACCACCACTCTCTATTTGTACGGTAAATGACCAGGTGATCATCCACAAAAATATCCATACAAATCCAAAGTAGGTATAGGGGCACTCGTGTGTCTTGCAAGCTCCGTCAACGCTTTGACTGAGCTTGGTCCGTCTTTTTGTATTTTCTAATATTTTTGGTTAACCACTAAAAGGTATCCCTTTGGCACCTTTTTGTTTTCTCTGCCTCTAAATATATTGCATACATTCCGATTGGCTCATCACTATGATGGACTGCCTCAGTAGCCAATAGTAATGATTAAAAGGCAGGAGCACATCGACAAGCTTCCAGAATGGCCAGACATTCAGCTAGTGCAATGGTCTGCACTTTATATTTATGAGCAGACTTTTTATTGTTAAAGAGTCACTTCAATGTATAAAAAAAGGTACCATAGTTACAGTTTTTAAAGAACAAGTTTACTATAAAATCACAATATCCTTGAGAATATTTGATTGTTTAACATGTTTTCTGTTACATAAAAAGACCACATTACTTCATGGCAATTTGTTCTTTTACCCTGGTACTTTTCCATAAGGGTTAAGTACTCGTGCCATCCATTTTACTGGTAGAAATGAAATAAGACACATTAAGTATTATATAATGGCTCAGCTATAGCATGAATACTTACAGAGAAATCCATAAATTACTTAAAGCTAAGCTGTTTTCAATACTGTAAAAAGGTTAATGTATAGACATGGCACTTTTCATGACAGCAACCAATGATTAAACACGCTTCACATGATGGCATTAGCAATGCTTTAGCGAGTATATTGGCTAGTGATGAGAAAGATCCATGCTATTGCCAGTGATAACTGGGTACAGTATGGGTTAATGAACCAGCAGCAACTCAGGTGGCCCCAGTAGTTACCAAAGACACAAGAGGAACTCTGTATGATATACAGGCTGGATACCTATTCAGTTCCCATCACCATTAACACATTACCTTCTTGCTTAGATTGCTTCTCATTATCACAATATGGTAACTAACTACCATATCATTAATGGATATACAGTATATCAGTCTGGAGGAGTGGATTTTCCTAGGCAGACTGCATTTGAATGCAAACTATAGACAAATCCGTCTAGCACCTTACCCAGACACCACTGATAGGGAGTTCACAGCTATCAGTGACACTGTATTATACCTCATAGAATAAAAAAAGCCAACTCCCAATAATGAGCTGTTGCTGTTTATTAAGGGCTTGACACAAGTGACAAAGAAAAAGTGACTAAGCAAGAAATATTGCATGTTAATTTTAGGTATTCTCACATGCAGCTGGCAGGTGGAGCTCACTGGTCTTTTCAGATGATAACTAGTTCCCCTATAATTTTAAAAAAATGCTTTGTATTAGACATGTGCGTTTTGTTTTCATTCTGATTTTTTGCGTTATTTAATTTTTTGGGTCCGAAAGTCAATTCGTTTCGGGATTCGGACTAAATTTATTAGCGGTAGTCTGTACGAAATTTCGTTGCAGCAAAGTGACATTAGAGAGATTATTTTTTTTTTCAGAAGAGAAAAAAAAAAGCGTGAGGTTCCCCCCCAATTCATACCAGACCCTGGGCATTGGGAGGGTGTCCCCATGCCGATGGGGACAAGGGCCTCTTCCACACAACCCTGACCCGGTGGTGGTGGGGGTCTGCGGGCAAGAGGGCATATTTGCATTGGGATACCCCTTTATTTAAGGGGCACCCAGATGCTGCCCCTCCTTGTGAATAAGGGGTACGTGTACCCCTACTCATTCACTAAAGGGTTAAAATTCAAAGTCAATAAACAAACCACACTTTTAGAAAAAATTATTTAATTGAAAAAAAAAACAATTTTTGACTATTCCTTTAATTTTAACAATAAATGGCTCCATCGATGTAATCCAATTTTTTAAATGTTTAATTAAGGGAATTTCAGAAAATTTGTCTGAATTTCGATTCGGAATGAAACGAATCGCACATGTCTACTTTGTATTGAGCTCAAAAGCTGAATGTGGAATATACAATGAGAAGTGAATGAGTCAAAGCAATGACTCATCCCCTCCACTCCCTAGAGCTCTGTCCAAAGAATTGATGAGTATGAATTAATTTCTGGTGTACTATCCAAAGTAGTTATAGAAGTCACAGAGGTTATTACATTGTCAGGTGTCTTACAAGGTAATAACACAATGGAAGTTGTGGGCACCCACAGGATTTGACATGAGGAACATCCAATGCAAGAAGTTTAATAAATAGATGATATTTAGGTGGGTCACACCCCATTGTTCTCAAAGCTTGAGACTTGAGAAAATTGGGCCATGCCATCACAACTGAAACATTGTGTCACCTGTAGCAGCCGTGGGATGTCACCCTCCGGGGACGTCATCACACATGTATGTGACCTCATTACGCGTGTAATGATGTCACTCGCACTTAACTGCCACCGGCCATCTTGGTGATGGACGCCGGCAGAGAGAGGAGGGGATGTTCATTAGGCAGGATAAGGTATGCCGCCAGGTCCCCTCTCTTGTGCAGCTTCAGGACCAAGTGCCCGACTTTCCAGAGGGGGTGGCACCAAAATGACTGTAAATCACCCCCTCTGATGGTGTCAACCGCTGCAGGCCACACCCCCCGTATCCCCCTTGTGACGACATTGCTCCTTGTGCCATAGCCTCCCTCTAAAATAATTACTTTTTCAATTATCATGTAGTATGATATCAATGAAAAAATTACAAAAAAAGTCAAATGAACTTCCTATAATCTTCTGTAAAAGAGTGGGTGGTGGATTTCAGATGTGACAGAAGTCAGTGATTAAGAACGGATCAAAGAAGTTCTATGTACATTTTAATTTCCTCAAATGCACATAGCTGTGTTTTTACAACAGATTCGTTTGGAACAAATTCACACTTTTCAAGAGGCTGAGAAAAATGTAATTTTATTGTAGGACACATTGATAAATAACTGCATTTCACAACTGTCAAAAGATGAAGAGAAGTTACAAGAAAAATACAGTGAAAACTGAATTTATTTGAATATTCATGGAAAAGAAAAATCAGAAGACACTCAACCGTGGTTTTTTTTTTATTTGCTTGTTTGTTTGTTTAAAGGGGGGGGGGCTTCTGACATCCTCCTAGAAATATAGAACAGACTACTGTACACGTATAATATAATGCATATAACTGCACATTGTTTGGCCCCCCCAACATAACCCAAAAAATCAAACACTCAACTCTGTTTTATTTCACTCATTTATACAGTACTGACATACAGTATTCCACAACACTTTAGAGAAGCTTACCTTGAAGTCTAATGCAGAGATAGAATGAGGCTAGTTTGGGTCAAAGTTAGATAAGCTAACCAGTATGTGTTTGGATTTTGAAAGGAACCCCCTCACAGTTAAATCCTAAATCTACTAACTCTGTGTAGGTTCACTGGGAAGAAGCACTCATCACACCAGTATATTGTTTGGCAGGTGGTTCCTACTATTGAGAATTATACTGGAAGCGGTATCTGATTGAAGTGCTGTTGCAGCCATAGATGAGCTTTTTTAATTAGGGTTCTATTCAAACTACAGTACGTGTGCGTTTATATCGCCCCGATGCACATATACAGTGTAAACAAATACACCTGCTCTGGCCAAAAATAAAGCAGGTACCTTTTCATGAGTTGAGACTTGTTAAGAGTCCATTTTAAAGGGAATTAACAGTCTTAATATGTATTCATAAGTATAAATGGAGCCTAAAGGGATTCTATAATATTTTAGGTATAAATATAAAAAAATGTATACACTCAGTGAGATTAACAGTTATTAATGATTAGTCTTTGCAAACAACAGGCTTTTTAAAAGAGGAGGAAATGTCAAAAGCAGCCTAGAGCTACATTTGTTGGCTGGAAATAAGCATACAATGGGGTCTATTCACGAAGCTGCCGAAGGATTTGGCCATAGCTTCGGCCGATCCTTCGGCTAGCTTTGGCTTTGGCTCCTTTCTACTGAACCGAAGGGGTGCTGTACGGGCTATTCACAATAGCCCGTACAGCTCCCGATCATGGCCGAGCGGCTCAGTCGAGCCGATCGCATATGCATCGGCTCGGCTGAGCCGTGCAGAAAGCCG